ATTATTATTATATTATATTATTATTATTATTATTATTATTATTATTATTATTATTATTATTATTATTATTATTATTATTATTATTATTATTATTATTATTATTATTATATTATTATTATTATTATTATTATTATTATTATTAGTATTATTATTTGTGTGTGTGTGTAGGAAAGAAAATTATCACATTTTTTTTCCTGCAAATATAAGTATTTTTAAATAATAATACTAGTGACAGCTATTTGTTATAATAGCACTTCGTGTTTCGAATTTCAAGTAAGTTGATTCTGAAACATATTTAAAATAATTTAAAAGTGAGATTCTTTGTCCTAGAATAAAGAAAATTTTATTATAGAAAATCACTCGAGGATTACCTCGCCTAAGAGAGAGAATAAATTTGGGAAGGATTTTCTAAAGAAAAGTAGTTCCTTTTCACAGAAACAATGAAACAAATTCAGAAAACAATGAAAATCTCCTTCTAGGCATTCCAGGATTCCGTGGTCTTACCTGTTCGAACGCTCCTTCACAGTGTCGGATAAAAATCGAACGAAAATGTTTTAGTTCCCCGTAAACATATTTAATATTTTAAGTTATATTGTTAGAAAGTAGTTTTAGCTTAACTCTTGTAAATTTCTTTAATGTCAGTATTAAAGAGTGAGAGAGAGAACGAAATTCTTTCACTATATATAACTGTGAACCATTAAATATGTCATATGCTTTCAAAATTTTAGTTTTCTATTTATTTATAATAATTCCAAAATATTTAAATATATTACAGAATATTAATACTATATAACAGGCATGTCCAAGTCACGGCTTGAAACCCTCGTGTGACTCATCGGTCCCTCAAGTGCGGCTCATATTGTAGCAAACACTAGTTTTACTTTTTAAGTGAAATTATAATTTGAAACATAAATCGTGCTTCTTAATAATCAATAATTTTATTTTTTAAATTGCATCATGGACTTAAAAATTTTAAACAGATTTGATCCAGTGATTCTGCGCTTATCTATGAAATAAGGAAAAAAGGCCGAATAATTCGTTTCTGTGATATTCTAACATCGTGATATTGGTTTAATACGCTGTATTGATGCTGCTCCTGAAACCTTAGCGAGTGGTGGGACGAGTATGCATCGTAATTTCATTAGAAAAGAGGATATATTCGATTATCAGTTCTCATGAAATGAATTATATAACAGAGTGATTTATGTCTAAGTTTTCATATCCGTATTTCTTCACACTGGTTGCGACATGGAGGTAAGAATAAAAGGAGGCGACTACGACTGACGCAGGGCTTCCAAGCTTTGGTCTCCAGCGAGGATGTTTTTTGGGTTACGTCCAGAGTCTCCTTGACAGTTGTTTGGCAGTTATTGACCCAGGATAGTTCCACGTCGATCGAAAATCGGATACACTTCCGCATAAAAGAAACATTCATTACTGGATGGGCAATAGCAATTTGTATAGTTTAGTGGTATTTACGAAAAAATTATATCTTGGTTATTTTTCGATGAATTCCAACAGTGATTTTGATTATGAATTTGTTTTATAAAATTCTTTAAGCTACTGGGCAACAAAAATATAGATTTTAGCAAAATGTTTATGTTATGCAGAAAGAATGAAAAATACCTCAAGGTACCTTTAAAATGTCAAAATATAGCAAAAATATAATACATTTTAAAACTCAATTTCCTTATAACTAAGTAGTATAAGAGTGAACATTTGTGTACTTGTTTCGATGCACTTGTTCGATGCACAAAGTATCCGCTAGTTTTATTTTATGTTCCAAATATCAAAATGTTTTAAATGAAATACATTTTTTGTCCTCCACATAATATTGTAACATGTACTTTTTAAAAATTTTTAACGGAGAGGTTTAATTAATAGCTCATTTTAACCTCATTGCCCCTTTTTATTTTTATATACTTGAAAAATAATCACTTTTGGTTCAATAAAAAATGAAGTTACCACCAAATCTTGTAATCCTCGTCAAAATTAATAAACACATAAATAGATATGCTAATAAGTTAACTTTTCCTTCATTTGTCAATACACATTTGTTTAAAATTATATACAATTTTACACAAATGTGTGGAACCGAAGCCAGAAACATTTGCCAGTTTGGCGGAAGTACCGTGTGTGGTCAAGAAGAGGTGGCCATGTGATCACGCCACACTCTCAAGACAACTTATAAGGAATTTGAAAATAGGGTGATCGACGGAAGTGAAAACATTTGTGTATTTGAAGGTCGATCGCGAATGGTTCTCTTATTGACTCTAGATTGTTAAATGTTTCCCATGCAAGTTTTTTTCTTCTCGCACAGTCGTAGCTAGAGTTTTCAGCGCCCAGGGACAACTGAAGATTTCGCGGCCCCTACTGCTTGCCAAGGATGGAAAACATTTTATTCTAAAATGTCGTAACATCAGTTTGGCACCCCTTGGATTCTGCGTCCCCTTGCCCCCTCTAGCTACGCCCCTGTCTTCTCGGAAATTCCCTTATGCTCAATTAATTGCGATCTGATGACAATGAGTTTGATGTATAAATGCGGAATGGATAGTTATTATTTATTACATTATTAAAGAAATATAAAACTAGGTAAGATCGCTAAGAGAGGTATTAAAAGCTTTGCCAAAATATAATTTACCAGAAAATTTTAATTTGATAACGAATGCATCTTAAAACGTGTTTGGAGTCAAAAGTTTGAAACTTGATGGCTAAATGTAAATATAAAATTATCTATGTTAAAATATTTGTAATTAGGCACATAGGTCAGCTAAGTTTTTATTAAACAGGGTAAGGCATGGAAGGACTGTCTGCCTAAAGGGAGAGATGACATCAGAGAGGAATTTCAAAGGAAAACTGAATTTTGAGTGGGTATTAAAAAATGCATGTAATTTTCATTCAAATTACATTTATGCATATTTCTCATGTAAAAAATCTGGTGCATGCTAAATTATTGTAAATTACTTTACTCGAAAAATATAGTCAATGCACAGAAATTAAAGAACTGCTCACGCCGAAAATAAAAATTATTAAATACATATGGGTATTTATGCATATCCATGCAAAAACCATATATTTTCCTTTAACAAAATACTTAAATGCTTATTAAATAGTTTATAAATGTATTTGGAAATGAAGGATTTATTCATTCATAAACCCATGTGAAAGTTGCTATGAAGAAATCTAGTTATTAAATATATTTAAATTTATAATAATTGTAAATATTATCTAAATATACAATAACCTTAACATGTAATTGTAAACATAAAGGAAAATTCTGTTGACACGTTTATGAAACTATTTAAGCAAGAATTGTTCGTACTGGAAACAGTGGCGTAGCTAGGGTGGGGCAAGGGGGGACATCTGTCCCCGGGCGCAGCATTCAGGGGGCGCCAAATTGATGTTACGAAATTTTAGAATGAAATGCTTTCCGTTCTTGGCACAGAGAAAGGGGCGCAAAATCTTCAGTTGTCCCCGGGCGCTGAAAACCCTAGTTACGCTTCTGACTGGAAAGCAGTCTGTTAAAAGGTGTAAAGCAAATTCTATGAGATGCGTGGTTAAAAATATAAACAAGAAGAATTTTTAGAATATGTATTATTCAAATTGAAGATAAAAAAAAATAAGTTAAGTGTTAAAAGAATTATTATTATTTCCTTACATTTTATAATGGCTCGTATATAAATTTAAAAATAATATTAAAAAAGTGGGTTTTTTTTTTCCCCTTCAGAAATATTCATAGAAAGTTAATCAGCAGCAATATTTAAAGTATTTCACTATTAAAGTAAAAAATGCTCTAATTTGAAATAAACCCGATATTCGTTAAGTGGTGTTCGACACGAAGGTCTTTACGGCTACATGTTTATCATTCCCCTAAGGACCCATAAAATTTCCTCAAAGGAAAAATTCTGTTCACTTATAATAAAAGTGCAGTCTTTTGGTAGTGAAGTTGATCAGTCGTGGCGCCATCTATCAGCCACATATGAAGTCTTCGTTGGTTAAGTAATAATAGCAACTATGACTTTGGCTTATCTTTTCGCAGTGGCATATCTTTTACACATTATCGTATATTTGACACTATCGTACAGTAAAAATAGAAAATAATATATACTAGTCCCAGAAATTTTTGTGCTTTCGTCTGAGGCGACCTCTTTGTGGAAAGGGTTGGAAATCAAAATTCTACACAATAAATATCATAAATATTTTACTTTTGCTCCAACGAACAAACTGGAAACACAACTCACTTATATCTTTAGAACACAATTACAATAAAAATAATCGCGTGTTACCACATCTCTGAGACACAATCACAGAAAACTTCATTCAATTAAAAAATAGAAATAAATTATTTTTAGCTTTTTATGAATAGCAAGGAGCGCGCTCATTCGGCGAGCAATGGATGGCGTAACAACTTTACTGAATACTTATAAAAATAATGTTATAAGTACTCAATGAAATACACAGTTTTTCACAATTACTACTTAATTTTTTTTAAAAAATCAAAAATCCTACATTATTAATCTCACAATCGATGTATAAGATAATACCTGGCTAAAGAAGAAAATCTTCTTGATAATGTGACATATCTGCCTTCATCTTATTATTTCTTAAGTAACAAAACTCCATTCTTTATCGATACGCAATTATCCATTTATTTTGATAAATGCTAATTTTTGTCATCGCTACAAGTTAATTTGGTGTGAAGGCTCAGAAAAGAACTAATTTTAAGATAAGATTTTAAAGACAAAGAGTTAGTTTGTCTTTAAACTCTTTATTTTAAAATTACATTATTGTTACAATTTACAATTTTTCATCCAAGAGAAGAATAAGTATTCTTGACTCTTGCTACTTGGTATGGTAAGGAAAGTAAAAAATAGCTTTTAATTTTGCTGATACAGCATTTCCTCAAATATTCATAAAATAAATATCCGTATAATTTTCAAGTTGCGCCATCTGCTGGTCAATTATTACATCCGCCTGAATATTAGTTGCATTTAGATTTCTCTGTGACTGAATTAGTTCTTGTTGCAACAATATAAATAATTTAGTCTCCAGAAAGTTTGCAACAAACAATATAACTTGAGAATTCAATGAAAAATTAAAAATCACAAGCATTGAATATTTTTGCCAATGAAATAGTTGGAATGAACTGAAAATACCAAGGAAATGTTATACCAAGGACCTCCTTGCATTATAATCCTTAGGACAAACCTGTAACCGCGTAATTTACCGCGAAAATTTGTTTACAAAATCGGAACATAATAAATTTAAATAATTTGTTTTTCTCTTAAGCATAATTTTAATCTCATGTATAGGTAAGTGGATGATAATTTTCTTTAATTAAAAATAACGTATATCATGTATTTGCAGGTGAAGCTTTAAAAAAGCATTAAGTAGCGGTTAACGTGTTGTTTCCTTGGTTCTTTCCCGCCTTTCGCAGTTTTATAAAAATACATATTATTACTGATATGTATTGCTAGTATTTATCAAGTTTGTTTATTATTACTGATATGTATTGCTAGTATTTATCAAGTTTGTTTATTATTACTGATATGTATTGATAGTATTTATCAATTTTACTTATTATTATTGGTATTTATCAAGTTGATATTATGTATTTTTCTCGTGATTTTTGGTAGTGATAGTAGACGATTTGACATCGTTTGTGAACATGTTGTTTCGTTTACTTGTTTTTATAATTCTCATAAACTGTTATTACATTCTGTTACATTTTACCGTTATTACATTATAAAGTTAAGGGCATAAATACTTTTCAGAAAAGTATCTTCAAAAGTGATTTTGCCTTCCTTTATTCTAATCATAATTTTCATCTGAGTAAATGCAAACCACTTTCATGTAAAAAGCTCTTGAAATAGACTGACAGCCAGTATGTGATTTAATCCATACATTAAAAGAAAAATTGTACGTTCTAATTACAATTTAAAATATTTTATTATTTCAAGGTTACTTTGTGGAATTCATTGCCAAGGAAAGTTAAATAAGAAAGGTTTAACAGTTTTATACAAAATATTTAAAATAAAAAAAATTATAACTTAAATTTTATATGAATTATAAATTTTTGCTGTTTCAGTGGCCTAGGAGTTAATGTAAATTTATGCATTACTGAAGCCTAAGCACGACAAGTGTGAGGCAAGTGAGACTTGCCTGCCTCATGTGAATGGCGAGGAGGGAGCCAAATTAGCTGCCGCGCCCACTGCTTGCCGCCAAATTAGCTGCAAAAGTTAAATTATGATTTTTGACTTGAATTTTGAAACATATTGAGAAGCATGACTTTAAAATATTGCATTTAAAGTACAAAGAAAGGAACTACATTCTCGAGCACATTCACACCGTCATGCTTTTCTTTAATCATTTGAAATCAAATTAAAAAAAAATTGGTACTAATGGCATTCAAGTGAGACAGGGAAATAATTACAGTGAAAATTGTTTAACACGAAATTGAGGGAACTGAAATTTTTTTTCGTATTAGAAGAATTTCGTGTTCCTTATCTTCAGAGCAGATGTTTTTATTTTATTCGGCTTATAATTCCTTACTAAATGTAGTATTTCATCTCGATGTACTCCATCTTTGATATGATTTAAATAAAATTCTTCATCATTATAAATATCAGGAATGCACATCAAATAGTTTTCTGGTTGCAATTTTCTAATTTCGACTATGCGTAATGTATGCTTTACGCATGCGCGCGTTGAAAGAAATGTTTAATAAAGTTAACAAATATTAACCTTTTTTTTTTTTTTTTTTTTTTTTTTTTTTTTGTTGTTGTTGTTGTTGTTGTTGTAAATTTTCATACCCTTTAGATCATAATTACTCTTTATTTCATAATTTACGGTTTCATATTTTTAATTTTATAATTTCTGCATGCCATCTTACCAGATTTAAACTGATGATCTATAATCCAGAATCGCCGAAGTCCCGACGAGTCCGGACTAAAGACTTTTGACTGTATATATATATTAGTATTCAAGTTTTCAAGAGATACATTAAAACGGGATTCGTGGATTAAAAATATTTCAAATGATCACAACGTCATGTGTAGGAATTATAATTGTAGAAAATATGGTAAAACATATGATAGAAAATTTCATGAATATTTTATTAAATAATACCTGTTATGCTATTAATCTTATCTGCAAATGAATAAACAACATTTTACATTTGTTTTCTATAAGTCACTGGAAATTTAATACTTGTGCATTATTAGAAACAGAAGAATCTAAACAGTGAGCAAAATGCCCATATTCAAATCTGAATTAAAGAAAATCATGGAAAGAGGACTTTCGTGATGTTACTCTGTAGCTAACCAGGCCATGTTCTCCAGTTGGCTGTCCCGTAGGTGACTTTAAGCTTAAAATTCAAGGCTTGTGATCAGATACCACATTAACCCCTTGACCTTCAGTATAGCCAGGGATATGACCCCCATCCTCTGTTAGTTTTTCCACTGCATCTTTTTATCTGTATCCTGCATTTTTTTAAAAAGAAATATTGGGTTAATCTGTGGATTATGGTAACTTGGTGAAAATTTGGCGAAGAACCCTGCTACAGCAACCTGCTAGTTTGTTTTTGGACGCCATTTTGTTTCCACGAAGAAAAGGCATGCTTTTTTTTTTTTTTTTTTTTTTTTTTTTTTTTTTTTTTTTTTAATCAACATTTTTTTTTTAACAATCTGCTAGCCGAGCTTATGCTTATGCTAGAATTTTTATGGAACAAAAGTGCTTAATCATGACGAAGATTAGGTGCGAAATTGGGAGAAAGTGCAGAATCGCCCACTGCTTGCCGTGTTTTTAAGAATTGCACATACACGGTATCATCCATGTACACGTCGACCTATTTTCACTTAAAAAAACATCCCAGAATTGCACAAAAATGGCATTGCGCACACTCTTGACTATCCATGTACACTGCTAAAGTCCTAGCTAGTAACCTTTATCGCCTTACCAAAATGTTGCCAAACTACCTGTTACCATATTCCAAAGATTAGCCAAATATTGTTATATTCAATTATTTGCTTTTAGCTGCTTTATCATTATAAATTTCATTGTATAAAGCTAAGCATTGGTGATTTGTCTTAACTTTTGAGCTTTTTCAGTATCTTCATTAAATAAATTTGTCCATACATATTTCATTTCACACATGTTTAAAAAAAGATTTTAAAAAAATTGCAACAAAAAGAAATTTTACAGTTTTATGCCCAAACAGAGTGTAAACTTGAAAAAGGTAACTGAAAAAGATGTATTTTGTTCACAGCTATTACTCTCAAAAAATTTATAGAAATAAAAATTGCCTCTCAGTGCTTTTCCAAACTTATTTCATATAGGAAGTTAATCTGATCTCTGTTAAGTTGATGTGCAACAATGTTTAATATTTCTTTTCTGTAAAATTTCTTATATCATTCCATTTAAGAATTGTGTGAAAGATTAATTAATCTTCATGCTGTATTAGAAATGAAATTTTCAAAGAAATTAAGTGCTGTTGTAGCTTTATTTTTAATAACAATAAAGATCTTAAATTTGTGAGCATTATCATTGATGATTGTAGAAGATGCAAAAGAAACTCTCATATAGAAAAAAGCATGTGATTTTTCAACCTTGTGAAATGAATAGTTTTACTTTATTGCAGATCTTTAATATCCAGTTCAAAAGTAGTTATTTTTGTTGCACTTTCTTAGAAATTTTCAGTTCTGTCTCTATGAAAATAACCTTTCACTGTATTCTTTGATTTATAAATATTTTTTAAAAAAATTATAACTTAAATTTTATATGAATTATAAATTTTTGCTGTTTCAGTGGCCTAGCAGTTAATGTAAATTTATGCATTACTGAAGCCTAAGCAGGACAAGTGTGAGGCAAGTGAGACTTGCCTGCCTCATGTGAATGGCGAGGAGGGAGCCAAATTAGCTGCCGCGCCCACTGCTTGCCACCAAATTAGCTGCAAAAGTTAAATTATGATTTTTGACTTGAATTTTGAAACATATTGAGAAGCATGACTTTAAAATATTGCATTTAAAGTACAAAGAAAGGAACTACATTCTCGAGCACATTCGCACCGTCATGCTTTTCTCAAATGGTACAATTTCTAGAAAAGTATTCGAATAATCACTACACAGATTTCCCAGCTTCAAGGATGTCACCTTGAATTCAGCTACAAAAGGTTTCACCCATTTCCAAGAAAGGGGTTTGAAGATAAGGGACAAAGAATATGCCCCCAAGTATGAGATACCTGGCACGCATGCTCGCGGGTTAAAAATTGTTAGTTGTTATTGTTGGAAGTAGCAGAACCAACTTCGAGGCACACATGTTTGGGTTGAGGGCCGTGCATTCAAATCTTTGGTGGCTGTAAGTGGCATAACTTTTTCCCAATGTAAAAAAACAAATGTACTTACATGCATGCTCAAAATTATTAGAGACAAGGCCCAGTTAATCAGAAATTGATTATGTTTGAGTTTTGCATTTTTAACTATACAAAATCTCATAAATGTGGTCATCTTATCAATTAGCACAAAACATTCCTGATAACATGTTGAATGTTTCAGAAATGGCCCCTAATAATGCATATGAATAATAGCAAGTATTTGACTAGATGTCATCAGGATGCATCAGACCTTGCTGTTTGCACCTTAACATGCTTTTTAAGAGGCATTCAAAGCAGGTTGTTATGTGATTCTTATAAAATATAGAGGGTGCATTTTTAAACTATTTATTTCTAATCATAGAATACAGTACAAAGTCCGTAATCCGGAATGATCTATAATCCGAACCTCAAAGCCACAAACTTTACGCATGCGCGTAAAGAATGCACATACATTTTATTTTTGTAAAATTTGATACCCTTTAGATCATAACTGCTCTTTATTTCATAAATTACAATTTCATATTTTTAATTGTATAATTTCTGCATGCCATCTTACCAGATTTAAATTGATGATCTATAATCTGGAATCACCGAAGTCCTGACGAATCCGGATTACAGATTTCGTACTGTATTATACATTACAGAAAATTGAAATACCAGCTTGGTTTTTTTGTCTGTTTTTTACATGTATCGAAAAGTGTTGCCAGTCGCAAATTATTAAATGTTGAATGTTGCCATTTGGAAATTATTAAATGTTTAATGTTACATCTTTTTTCTTAAAGAGTTCAAAAAAATTTTTTAAGTCTAAAATCAGTACAAATACCTGGCCGGCTTTCTAATCCCTCTCCCATTTTTAGTTCTTTGCTCACCATTCCTTGTTTCTGAGTTAGCAGAATTTAGTGGTTAATATTCTAAACTTCCTTTCAGAATATCTGGGATCATATCCTTTTACATCTGTTTTCTGGGCATTAACTCATTGTTCCTCTAATATTCTCTTCAGCAGCTGAACTGTTTTCTTTAGTGTCTCTAATGTCTTTTCTATTTATTCTAAACACTGTTCTCCCTGATTTCAGTATATACTTCTTCTGCAACTGCTGGTTTCCAGCGATTATCCTGATATACCCTAACACAATCTCCTTTGGTCAGTAATGGTAATATATTTGTAGGAAAATCATAATATGACTTCTGCATAGTTACTTCTTGTTTTTTGTTTTTTTAGCGTTTTTTACAAATGAGGTTTCAATACTTCTTCGGATGGAGGAAGAATTGTTCTTGTTCTCATAAGTCGTTGAGCTTGTGATCCTAACATCTCATTATTTGGAGTGTTCCTATGAGCTAACAATGCTAAACATGATCTGCTTGAGCTTTCTTTAACAATTTCCTTGCTGTTTGTACTGAATGCTCTGCTAATCCATTCAACTGTGGATGGTAAGTACTGCTCATTATGCGTTTAAATTGGTATTTCTTGGCAAATTTCACGAATTCTTTACTTGCAAATTGAGGTCCATTATCAGATATCAATATCAATGGTATGCCGTAGCTTGCAAAATGAGATTTTGTGTAAGTGATCACTGTCTGATTGCGAGTATCCGGTAATTTGGTGATTTAAAAAAAAGTTGGTATACTAATATACAATTAATGAGTATGCATCTTTGCTAATCTCAAATAAATCTGTTCCAACTTTATACCAAGGTAAATTAGGAACTTCGTGTGGTATCATAGATCTCTTACGTTTTTGCTCTGCTATTCATTACATATAGGGTATTTTGAAAATTTATCTTCTATTTGCTTGTTCATAAGTAACTAAGACAGAACATCTCTAGGGCTTTCCTTACATTTTCTATCCCAAAATGACTCTCATGAATTAAATTAAGGGTCTCCTTTTCCGTAGATAAAGGGATGATTAGCCTTCCTACTTTACAAAATAAGGTCATTTTCCGATCTGAACTAAGCTTTGTAGTCCCGAAATACTTGACTTGAGGTTCCAGCTGATGTTTCCTTTCTGGCCAACCTATCAGAATATATTTCTTTAAGAACTGTAGTGTAGCATCACATTCATTTTCTTTCTTGATTTACGATTAAGTGTGTGGAACTTTGAGAACTGGTAAGAGAATAATCGCTTTAGCTCAGAAAACGTAAACTCAAGAAGGGTTAATTACCCTTTATTGCTCAAAATAAGTTTTACAGGTGGCCCTTTCTCAGAACGTACAGAAAAGCCTCCACTTGGGCTTGAACTCAAGAATACTAAGAAATAAAACTTAACTAATGCGTAACTAAAATGATACAGCTGAAGCTATTAAAATTCTACAGGAATTGGCCCCTAAATTTTAACAAAATGGCGAAGCTATCAAGGGCCTGAAATATGGCCGAGCATAGTAATAGCTTTAGAGAGAGTGTAGCGAAAAGGTGAACATGCACTAGTTAGAATCTCTAGCTATCTAAATTTAGTCAGTGGAATTTTGACTTAAGTACTGCTCTTCCTTCATTTGCATTTAACGCGCTCCTAAAAACACACTCTGGCCAGAAATTTGTAAGCTAAAATTAGAAGGGATAGGAAAGTAATTTTAACTAAAGATAACTTCAAAAGTTAGGATAAACCTTACAAGTTCATAAATTTTTCTTCAGATGATGGAATCAAGGTACAAATTTCTGTATCTTCATCATTATCTTCTTCTGTTTTATTCAAATATTCTCTACTTAAAGTATCTGCTATTAATAAATATTTCAACTTCTTGTATCGTACATCTAGATCTTATTTTGAAAATTTAACTGCATTTTTTGCAATTACTGCAGTGCTTTAAAAATAGATTTCTTAGTTATGCTTTCTAATAGTCGATGATCAGTTTCAACTGTAATACATTTGGGTACTCTTCTATATTTTGAGGGCCGTAAAAAAATTGCAGTGAAAATGTTTGCACAAAAGCGCCAAATCTAGCGTACGTGCTGGTTTCAGATTGCGTTAGTTTATATAGTTCTATATTTCTTAAGACGGCATTGAAATACTAGTTTAATTTTTAAATCCTTTTTTGATTTTAAATCTTTTTTTGAGTCGGCAATAGAATTTTGAGTAAAGTGCCAAATCGCTCACTGCTTGACGCATTTTTAAGAATTGCACATACTACTCAGTATCCATGTGCACATTGACCTATTTTCACTTAAAAAAAATCCCGGAGTTGCACAAAAATGGCACTGCGCACCCCTTGACTTTATCTATGTACACATCGACCTATTTTCATTTAAAAAGTAAAATAAAATTGACAGAAATCCGATTGTTTTGACCCTTGAAAAAAGCGATAAAAAAATAAGTGAGCGATTCTGCACTTCTGAATTCTGATTCTGAACATTTTCAAAGAAAAGGCATCATTCATTATAGAAAATTACGTTTGAACAACCAACAAGATGAAATTATGCTTTAGCCATAAGTCGGTAGCGAAATAGCGATGCAGGCATCCATTCAGTTATGTTTAGCAATTTTTATATAAATTATAATAATGATCTGAAGTAGTTATTTACTCTTATGCTTCCATTCAGTCATGTTTAGCTTTTTTCATATAAATTATAATAATAAAAAATTATTATATTAAATTAACCTTTCATCTAAATTAAAACATCAATCTTAGATAGCTATTTACTATTATACTTCCTTTCTTGCCGCAATTATTTTTGGCAGCATTGGCATCAACAATAGTTTGGCGATTTTTTACGGCCCTTGAAACCGAATAGTACCTACATTTGCCATATATAAAGGCGAGTCAAATGAAAGTGAGCCAACCCGTGGCCTTCGAGATAACATGGCCTGGTTAGCTACGAGTGACGTCACGAAAGGCGTCCGATCCTTCCGTGACTTTCTTTGCTTCAGATTTGAATGCGAGCGCTTCGTTCGATGTTTAGAGTGTTTTGTTTTTAATAATGCATAATAATTAAATTTCCAGAGACTTGAAAAAACGTATATAAAAGGTCGTATATTCATTTGCAGTTAAGATTAATAACTTAATAAATATTATTTTTTAAGAAATATTCACGAAATTTTCTATGCCATGTTTTAGGTTATCTTGTGCATTTTTTTTTTTACACTGTCTTGTAATAATTTGTTAGGATACACTCAAAAAAGAAAGTTTTGAAATAAATAAATAAAAAGGCTGTTATTTATTAACATAAAAATGTCTTTACAGTTTGAGAAGGAGAGGAATGAAAAGATTTAGAAACATAAATAATTCAGTAACAAAAGTAAATATAATTTAGCAAATTAAAAGACATAAAAAATAATTTTTCCTTAAAACTATAAATATTTCAGAGCTTCCAAACATTATGCAAATGTATTTTTAATTCATTTAAATTACTATCTAATAAAATGAACAGAAAAAGCCGCAGAAAAAATTTAAATCTCAAAACTTTGTAAATTAAATAAATTACAATTTTGCTGCAACATTACAGAAAACGAATAATTTTCACATATTTATATGTTATCTATAGCAATAATTATAAGAATATTTACATCATTTAATAATATTTACATTATTAGTTATACGTAGATGCATAATAAATAATATATTTACAAATAAAAGCCATCCATATAATGTTTCACAAAAGCGTAAAATCAATAAATTTGCCAACGAAAACCTCAAAACAACTATACATAGAACAAAAACCATCATTTCTGTCTAATTAGCAAATACTGTGCAAGTTGTACTAGTATACTGAAGCAATAATTAATCGCAATTGATAATTCATTTTGAAAAATTATGAAGTATTATCAAATAATAAGGAAACAGCAAAAGGATTAATAAATTTAAATGTAAAAGATACATTATTGAAAATATATTTAAACTGCATCATATTTAGTATACTATTTTTAAAAAGTACTTTAGTATAATTGTTTAAACAAATATTTGAAATGGTGCTCATTATTTTTTTAATCTGCTAGAAAAGGGAATTCCACACATTAAACAAGTTTCATGAACATCAAACATGTTAATGTTTTGTACATATATCTCGGTAAGTTTGACCAGTAAAGAATCCTGTCCAACTTTTTTACTGGTTATTCTTTATTTCTTTTCAACTGGAACAACTTTATCTCCTAGATAAACTGCTGTATCTATATGAAGCGATACAAAGATACTTTTCTCATAGCTCTTTTTTCCTCCCTGCTCATCCTCTGAGGGGTTGGACTTTCAGATAAGTATTTTGGACAACCAGAAAAAATGCATGGGTAAGCATCATTATTTAATTTAGGATGCCCTCTACACATCTGAATAAAAGTACCTTCGTTTGTTGGTAAATAATCATATCGAATAATATCATCTTTTCGAAATGTTTTTCACAGACAACGCTGCGATCACTTGAAATAAAATTTTTCCTTGGAATGTTTTTTGATCCATAAATCCCGTTTTACTGTATCTTTTGGAAATTTGAATACTGATTCATATTCATTAGTGCCATCGTAATTGGATTTGCATGCTGGAACGCAACATCGTGCAGGCATGATGAAGACAGCTCTACGTAGATGTCGATCGTTATTCTTGTTAACAAATAAGTTAACTAGTAATCTCAATTTAAAAACGAAAATATCCTTAACAACATTACTTAAATTTAGCAATAAAAAAGACACAAATAATAAAAATATACAGCACGCAATCAACGTAATAAGAAGTCTTCGCTTGCAGTGTCCACACAATGCAGTGCGAAGGGTGAAAGTTCAGACGCCTTACGTGACGTCAAATCACGTGATTCTGCAGCTGACCAGGCCATCTAATCTCGAAGGCCACGGCCAACCCCTCCTCAGCAAGAATGGTTCGGTCCATCATCTGCAGCGCATGCGCGTAGCACAGAGACAGCCTTCATTTACGAAAGTGGCACGAAAGTGTGAGGTTAAAGTTCTTTAAGGCGCTCTTACACTGGGTTGAAGACGGTAGCGTGACATAATGGACGCTCCAAAAGAGGAACAGCGTGATGTGGTCATGTTTTTGACAGCTGAAGGTGTTTCCCAACATGAAATTAGTCGCCGTATGACTGCTGTGTACGGTGAACATTGCATCGCATTGGCCACTGTGAAGCGTTGGAGCAAACGGTTCAGAGAAGGATGTGAAAGTTGCAAAGACGATCCAAGACCGGTCCAAAGCCACCTTGCAATCACCCCCGACACAATTGCACAGGTTGATGAGCTGATTAGACAAGAACGGATCTGATGTGGTTAAGACACAACTGGCAAAGTTCAAGTGGGACACGCTGCAATATCCTCCATACAGCCCAGATTTGTCACCATGCGACTTTCACATTTTCGGGAAACTGAAAAAACATCTCAAGGGTACCAGATTCGTGTCGGACGACGCCATGAAGGAGTTGGTTACAGACTTTTTGAATCGACAGCCCAGGGAGTTTTATGAGACGGGGATCACGCGGCTCATTTGTCAGTGGGATAAATGTCTCAA